CTGTGTTTTCAAAGATGACATTGGGGTCTGTAGATGTGAAATAATAGGAATCAAGGATAGATTGTTTGGAAAAATGGGAAGAGAAATGATTGCAGGTGATTCTCTGGCTCAAATTGGATAGACAAGAACAGAACCGTTTAAGCTAATATTCCTTTGTAGGGACAGACAATACTTGACAGTTCACCCATTTCTTCTTTTCAGACCACACCCTTAAGTAACAAGATGATACTGCAACAGCTCAACATGATCAATGGGATTGTGCTAACTGACACCAGGTAACATTTTCCTTCCTGCTTTCCCCAGGAGATTGCTCCATACTAAATTCATGCCATTTGGTAGCTGGGAACTGTATCACTCTCAAGAATATTCACCTATCAATCTGTAAATTCTGGCAGAGAAATTGTTGTGGAAAATTACAGCGAAGACTAGAAATACTTAACTTCTGAATGAAAATTAATGTCACAGCAGTGGGAGATATACCGGAGTAAAAATTGCTACATTGCTCCCTGATGGTGTAGTTTGTGTTTGTTGCCATGGCTGGCAGTAAGAATTATAAATCATAAGTTTCCAAACCTGTGCTGAATTTGATAAATGCTAAAAAAAAGTGCCACAATTGACCTCTGTGCAGTGGTGGGTGTGGTCTTGTTGACCTTGGCATCCCTGTGTAAGTCATGCTGTCCTTTTGCTCACAGTCCTGAGCTTCTTGATGCAAATGTTACAATTGAAAGGAATCTTGGCTGTGGTGTTCTCACCATGAAATAACTTTTCACCACTGCACCATTACAGGCTGACATGTGAAGAAGCAACTTAGGCCAGATACTAGAGGGACAGTCAATGATTGTAGAACTATAGTTCAGTGAGTAATCTGCTTCTGCAGCAGAGGAGCTAAAGCTACAAAATAAATGAGCAGTGTATTTATCCCATGAAATCCATATCTTTTATACAGTTCTTTTCCCTCTGTTGGAAATTACTGTAGGCAAATTACTGTCAAGATTTCATACAGAACAATAAGACTAACTGAAAAATTAATTCACTGGTCATGAATCTTTGTGACATCTTGAGTTTGTAAAAGGTCCAAATAAAGTGCAAGCTTGTCTTCTAATTATCAATGATGGAAGGTGCGTGAATAATTGATAACTATATGATACAATTTATTTCAATTTGTTGACATTAATTACTTGCTAGCTTCTGTGCACAGCAATTGGAACAAGTTGAGATGAGGGTAAATGGGCTTAATGGAATCTGCTTACTGAACCCTGTGACTAACCCAAGTCCAGAACCATTCTACATCCTAGAAAGCACAATCACACCACACCACCACCTCCCCCCACCACCCCCACCCCCCACACCAAGGTTCCAAAGGTACTTAACTCTTGAATATCTTTCTAATACCAGGTAGAGATTGCAGACTGCGAATTGTCTGTGCAACTTGATGCCAAGTGTCATGCCTGTGGCTTGTTCTGATTCTACTCTAGAATTGTGTAGTATAATCAAAGTTGGTTTACTTCAATTCCCACTTGCTATAATTCCCCAATTCTCTATGATGGTGATCCGATGCTCCTGCCATTACTTGCAACACACTTCACAAGCAATGACTTGCTGCGCCTTTTGCCACCTGTACTCACTAGCTGCTTTTGTTATTCTTTGCAGGAAATCTGCCCTAGAAAGTGCAACAAATCGAATGCGTAAACTACTCCAGGCAGAAATCCAGGCTTCTCAGAGACTGACCAAGGCTCTCACTAACATTGGGATAGAGGATCTGATATCAGTCAATGGAACTACAACCCCAGGTGAAATCACAAATGGTGCAGAGAATCTTGCTGAAGAAAAATTGATTAATAGAAGAACAGAGCCTGACTGTATTCCATCAGGGAGTTCTGCATAACTGTGTTTGCCAGCACTTGACAAGGAGATGGATTTAACTCCTTTCTAATTACATGAAACTGACACTAATGCCCACTTCTCAGCAAACAAAGACTTCCATATCCCAGATGTGGGTGGGGGGGGTCTCCATTCTGTAAGTGTGACATCCATATCAGCAGATGCAGCTAAGGTTTATCGTAATGTCTGGGATTAGATTCTGTAATTGTCGAATTACATTTTCTCTCCATTACTGGAAGTTAAAACCTACTTAATAATTACCACATTGAACGAGGATTTTACTCTTGCTGATTTGTATTGGATGTGGTTTTGTGCTATCATATAGGTGACAAGTCCTTATCCACCCACTGGTCAATATATACATTGCCTGCATGGCAACGAATGTTTTGGGTACTCTCTCCTTCATGTACCCTAATCTATGATTTTAATATAGCTATTGCCTGTCACTGTCACACTTTGTGGCCAAGACCTGTAGTTGTATTGCTTCCAGATATATGCTTTCTATTTGTATCATACTACCATTGCATGATAAGCTAGCGGCAACATGATGGTGTGTGTTGGGGGTGAGAGGATATTATCTCATTCTTGCCAAAATTACCAGTTGTGAGCAGCTTGTATTTCCAGAAAAAGGTCAAATTCAATGCTAAACCCCCTATGCGACAGGGTAAACTAGTTGATTTGTTTTTCTCTTTAGACTCAAATGTTTTCTTTTAATATTGAGGCTCTGAAAGCTTTCCAAGGTCACAAACTTCAATACTAATGATTTTGGTAAATTCCTGGTGAGTGTGATAGACTAGTTCTGACAGATCAGATTTGCTGTCCACCTTGAATTAAGTGCAGAGTTGATCAGCATCATCATAATGAACTGTGGCAGATTGACAAATCCAAGTCTTCCTTCGTTAAGTTCAAGTTCAGTCGTCAACTGCTTGCATCTGAACATAAGTTCAGAACTTTCATCAACTATCTAGGTACTCTGTTCTAGCTGCATTTTTAGTTCTTATAAGCTCAAGATGTTTACGAACCCAAAGCTACATTTTTAAAAATAAAATTCTTTCTATTTGAATGGCCTTATTCTGTACTATTCTTGGATTCAAATTAAAAATCATAAAATTATTGTTAGAGGGTTATGGGTTAACAGGTTTTACTTTTGCTTTAATTGTTGGACTGTAATTCATGAATCAGGTGAATGCTTATTTGACCATCTTTAAATGGTCTTTCACTGTAGTTTAATTAAGTTTTAATGAATATTGTATACTATGATCAGGTCCTTCAGTAATAAAACATGGACATAATTTACTATTCGCCTTTGTCTTTAATTTGTATCCCATTGGCTGGCTGGCAACTGAGAATTGGGCAGCCTGGATGTCGTGTACTGGCAAACAGGTAAATCACATGGAAAGATGTTTGGGTGGATCTCATGCATGAAATCAGAAAGAGGGTTTGGGTAATAGACTTTACCTGTCAAGTCTGGAAGAGCATTCTGGTCGTCACAGAAGACTGGCTGAATTCTTTCAATGGGTTACTGGTGGTGCAATTCAGAATGCTATTAAAATGCTATTAGGGCTTGTGACCCACTGGTTAGCAAATAAATGAGGCATCTTGCTTGAGTTACAGGTATCTGAGCCACAGGGAAAAACAACAGAATTAATCCAGTATGACCAAACAGAGTTGCACAATTTTAATTCCAGGTTTGTGAGAGGTGGAGGGAATTAAAAATTTCCTCTTGAAAGTATTCTTTACCAAGGTAACTAAACTTGGATTTCGGATCATTATGACCCTGAAAGAGTGAAATCGATGGTTCCATAGGTAATCTTTGCCCAGATGCTTTTACCTCAATGGGCTTTGAAACTTGGTTCACTCCAACTACTTTCCCAGCTATGAAACTAAAAAACATTCCATGCCCTTTTGAATAATTTCCAAGTCTTCACATTCCTGATATGTGGGTTCAGTAGGACCTTCCCAAAACTCCATGGGCTGTGAATCGAGTTTTTTTCTAGGAAACTGATGAATGGAGGTATCATTAAATACATCCATGTATCTACTGCTGGAGGGGAACGCGACCTCTTCAGTTATTGCCAATACCTGATGAGTACAGTTAAGGTTAAAATATGAAAGACAATAAATTTCTTGGTTTTGTTTTCCAAAAGCAATTGTGTGTGTGTGTATCCTTAAGTTTCATATCCCAAAATCTTGTATGTACCATGCAATTTCATTGAATTGCCGACCCTAGAAGTATTGAGGTCTATGATAATGAAATGAAAGAAATTGGTTGTTGTATTGGTTCTCTTTCCTGGAGAATTCTAAAACTAATTCTGCTACCTAGCTCCATCCCAATAATCTATAGATCATCATTTGTGTTAAATATTCATCCAAATGTCCCATAACAAGATGCAACGCCTCCAATTCTGTGAAAAAAGTTTCATACCACATGGATAACAAATCTGTGCTTAATCTCCCTCCATACTAACTGAGTGTTTTGAGCTGTTGTCTCATCAAAATAAATCGTGTGTCCCTATTCACTATATCCTGTGTAATTTGAAAAGGCTCTATTGGCCATCTCTGCTGTATGGAAATTCTTCCTGTAACTCAAGTCTGTCTTCTATTCTTCTACCCATTCTAGGTACAATCCTGGTGAATTTCAGCTGTTCTCTTTGTATTCTATTTCACCATGAATAGCATTACAGGAGATCTGCTAGTGTACAAATTCTATCTGTTGTTACACTTATCAGAATCAGTGCTTGCTAAATTATTTGTCTAAAACTGGATGTATGCTCCAATACTAATCATCTGTTAATAAGTTGTATAATTGGGAACCATATCATAATGGGGGAAGGAAAAAGTTCCAAGCAAGAGTCAACCCTTATCCTTCCTACCTTCAGACAATTACAGACTTGCCAGCAGTATTTGATAAAGAGAGATAAAGTGTAGAATAGTACACTACTGAATGAGGCCATTGTGTTCATACTGACTCTCTCGAAGAATAATCCAGTTATCTCTTGCTCTTTTCCTACATCCCTGCAATTTTCTTTCTTCAATGAATTATCCTAATCGCTTCTGAAAGTTATTATTGAATGCTGTCACTTTCATTCCAAATCCTAACCATTCATTGTGTAAAAGGTTTTTTCTCAAGTCACCTCTGGTTCTTTTGCCAGTTACCCTAAATCTGTGCTATCTGGTAAAAACAGTAATCTGGTGGGATGGCAAGGGAAGAGTTCAAAGGCAAGGTGTGAGAAAGATTTGGTTTTGCTGCACAAATATCTTGCTATTTCTGATGATAAATTTCCAAAAGATGGTTCCGAACATAGCTGCATCCTCCTCAAACAGGGTCAATTAACTTAATATACATTTCCATGACAACACTCTGCTCTATGTCAGACACATGAATTAGAAGCAGGACTTAGCCATTCAGCCCTTCTAGCCTACTCTACCATTGTCTTTGTGGTTTGGTTTCAACTCCAAATTCCTGCCTACTACTGATGAGCACTGACTCCCTTGTCAGTTCAGGAACCTATCTGGCACTGCCTTAAAAATACTCAGTGATCCTGCTTTCACTGCTGAGTTGAGAGTCACACTGGACTCAAAATGTTAACATGGTTTCTCTCTCCACAGATGCTGCCAGACCTGCTGAGTTTCACCAGCACTTTGCTTTTATTACAGATTTACATCATCCATTGTATTTTGTTTTTAACTGGCAGAACTCCAGGTGTGACCTCATGATAGTGCTATACAACTGTATCAAAGTATCCCCGTTTTCATATTCCATTCCCCTTGCAGTAAATGACTGAATTCATAACCACCTTGCTGTACCTGCATATTAACCTTTTTATGATTCACGTATGAGGATACTAAAACTCTCCATACCTCCAAATTCTGCAACCTCTCCATTTAAATAATCTGCTTCACCATTCTTCCTGCCAGAATGAACGTGTTCACATTTTCTCTCTTCATACTATTGCAAAGGTTTGCTGACTCACTTAACCTATTTGTATCCTTTTGCATATTCTTCAAAACTTACTTTTCTGCTAATCAACAGCAAATTTAACAGACATATATTTGGTATCTTCATACAAGTCACTGGTATAAACTACAAATAATTCCCAACACTGATTTCCATGGCAGGCCATTTGTCACATGCAATTCAAAAATTCAAACTGAAAATGGCTTTTATGCCCATCCTCTGCTACACAGGCATAAGACCTACTGTATGAGGAGTTTGACACTTGGGCAGAATCTCTAAATCAGAACATTCTTTACTTGCTGAGGGATTTCAACACGGAGGGTGCCAATCGTGAAGCACAGCCAAGGAAAGATGGACAGAGACTACTGAGCTTCGTTTCTACCACTAGAGTTTATAACTAAAACCTTCTTTCAGTTGAAATCATGCCACCAAGTATTCTGAAGACGTCCAAGATCAGGTACTGGTGCCAGCTGCATCTGATCATCACCAGGAGTGACGTTCTCAACACAGGGAGCTACAACAGCGCTGACTCATGATATATCTGCTGGTCGCCACCAGGGTTAGGATGTAACCCTTGAAGTTTCTTTTAATGTCTAGTCACAGTCATGTTCTTATTCAATTGTGAAGATCATTTTAGTTATCTTCACTTGTAACAGTAGATGCAATATGGTGATATCTTCCAAAACAAAAGGTCAGTCCCATTGTAAATAGCCAGTAATAGCTAATAGGTTGAAGTAAGTAGTTTAGCATTCATCAATTTAATCAACAGAATATTAATTAAATTTTGTACACTAACAGACCTCACAAAAGCATTATTCATGGTGAATCTTTAAGTCTGATGTAAGTAATTGGAAAGAAAGTACAACTAAGCTTTAACACAGTTATAAAGATACAATGGAAGAATTTATACTGGAGCAGAGATGTTTAGAAGTGTTTGTCAAATTATCAGCAGTGAATAGGGAAATATGACTCCTTTTTATTGTGGTTTTATTAACGTAAAGCTGCCACTCAGCTAGTTAGGAGTAAGGTTTAGGAAAGAATCACAGAATTGTTACGGCGCAGAAGGTGGTTAATAAGCCCATCGTGCTTGCACCAGCTCGTCAAATAAGCATCATTGCCTACTGCAAATCTCCCCTTTCCCCGTACCATTGCACACTATTTCTATCCAAACAATCATCCTATGCCCTCTTGAAAATTTCTCACATACATAATCATGAATTTTGATGTTCTGCATCCTGGCAATTCTAACATTTAAATGTTATGGGAGAGCACTCCAGGCAAATTCTCTCTCCTTTGATGGAGCCCTGTATAAAATAAGTGTTGGGAATTCCTACTAGTGCTGGTGGAATGCTACAACTGGCTTTAAAGTGCCTGAAATTTGGTTTCCATAGAATCCCTGCAGTGTGGAAGCAGGCCATTCGGCACATTGGGTCCACATTAATCCTCTGAAGAGCATCCCATTCAGACCCACACCCGCCTACCCTATCCCTGTAACATTACATTTTCCATAGCTATCCCACTTAGCCTGTACATCCCCGGATACAATGGGCAATTTAGCATGGCCAATCCACCTAAACTGCACAACTTCGGTTAGTGAGAAGAAACCGGAACACCGGGAGGAAACCCCCACATACACGAGGAGAATGAGCAAACTCCACAGTTGCCTGAGGGTGGAATCAAACCCGGGTCCCTGGTGCTGTGAGGCAGCAGTGCTAACCACTATGCTGCCTGGATTTTGGGATGAAAGTGGATAGAATGTTCAGCCTGTATTTCTGCTCCTGATTGCTATTGGTTAGTCAGTAGGGGCTATTAGATGAGAACTGGACTGGGTTTGTGTCTGATGACTCCCATAAAGTTGAATATTCCAACTCAAAGATAAGGTTTACCTCGAAAAATGACCATTTCATTGAGTTTGTAAAGAACACTTTCTGCGGCTTCCTGTAGATCCTAATCTCCCTGTTTGAGTTAGGGGGTTCAAGGGTATGAGCAATGAGAGAAAATTGAACATGAATGCTTCTGATGATGTAGTTTTGGCACATGTTCCCACCACAGAATTAAGAAAGTGAAAGTTGCCTATATGACACAGTAACTAAGAAGAATGTTAGGAATAGTGATGTTTTAAACTCTGGAGGGGTGCAGTGTCTTTGGAAACAGGATTGTTTGTTACTAGACTAGTTATAACTTAAATAATTCTTAGTTTTCACACAGCTACCGTGTCATATAGACAACTTTCACTTTCTTAATTCTGTAGTGGGAACATGTGCCAAAACTACATCAGTAGAAGCATTCATGGTCAATTTTCTCTCTTTGCTCATACCCTCAAACCCCCTAAGTCAAACAGAGAGATTAGGATCCACGGGTAGCAGCAGAAATTGAATTGCTGATTGAAATTACTGAAGGATACATGATTAATGTACGTATAGTCCCTCTTCAGCACTCGGGCTGGTATTCTGCAATATTTAAAAAAAAGTTCAACAATTTTGATAAGAATACAGTTTTGAGATTATCATCTTTCAATATTCTCTCTTCAAAAACATAATTGGAGATATTACTAATCTAATTATAATATCCATTCCAACGAATGTCCCTGATAACCTCTTCCCAGGTCCACTACGCTTTGTTTCAAAAGCTTTCACCCACGTCTTTCTGTTCCAAACTCTATGCTTGAAGTTCAAATCTTCACCATGGTGAACAGATTTGCTGAATGAACTCTTCTTAAATATTGAAATTAGATCACCTTAAACTCTCTACTTTAATAAAACCATTCTGTGTAATTTAAAATTCCAATTCTCATGTTATCCCGCACAGTACTATTGTTGCATTAATGTCCCTCAGAGCGTAATCTGTCGCTATTTTCCTATCTTGCCCCATCATAATTATTAAATCACCACACAAGTTTTTTCATTTACAAAGGATGAACAGCAGCAAAATTTTCTTACCTCTCCTCTATCCCTTTGAAACTGTTTCCAATGAGAATAGTTTGTGCAAGTTTTTGTGGTGACCAATTTTTCCACAAGAGGTTATTGTAGAGAGCTTTACCACAGTGAATCATGTAGAACAGCGTTGGCCTGTCGATGGACCGCTTCCCTTCCTAATAGATTTTTAAAAGAAAATTGCCAATCATGTCATGATATGCAAAAAAAATTCTGAAGCACATGGACAGGTGCAGTTTGCTCCTGAAATTGTCATACGGAAGATCTAGTTGTGATTAGGGGCTGAATTTGGAGCAATCACCAAAAACCCAAAACCAGAAAGTAATGCATCCCTTTTGTCAGACAGGATTCACAGAGAAGACAATGTACAAAACAAAAACTGAATGTGTCGGTGCCTTTTACCTCATTTTCCTCAAGCACCACCATCCCACAATCCTTCAAGAATTTCTTCTCCCATTCTGTAAATAGTGGATCAAAGAGAAGACAGCCATCTCGAGGGATCTGTTATATACGACAACAAAATTTAAAATTTTACATGGAGCAAAATCACGACTACAAAAATGGGAAACTTAGCGCTGGACAATGATTATTGGATAAATTAAAATGTTGATTTCTTTCTCATCTGTTCACTTCTAATTTTGCGTGGTTGCAACGGATTGCATAAGGCGAGGTAGCTGCCTTTTTCTATCCCTTTGCACCTCCCTTCAAATGGACTGAATTAATGATTTCAACCACAGAGGCGTTCAGATATCAGCTGCATTCTATGAAGTGGAAGTGAAGATCAAAGGATCAGTGAAGATCTCCAAGCTGCATTCGCATACCTGCTGTTCATTGCAATTGCATACAGCAAAAAAAAAACAAAAAAAAACTGTGCATTAAAGCAAATGATTTATTTGTGGACGAGGCATGAGTTGGATCAAAAGTAAAGCCCTCCATCCACTCCACACTGTTAAAACACGATGTGTTAATGATTTTTATGTCTCCTTCAGCTGGCTTTGAAGATATGATTTCAGAGTGAGTTTATCATACTAGGAAGCACAGTTGCAAAACTTTTCACATTTCTATATGTGGTATTAACTGTTCGAAGATGGGTGTTTTGGATATTTTTTACTGTCCATTTCTAAATCTGCAGATTTATAGATTTAGAGAATTATCATTTTAAACATAGTTATGAGTCACTGATTTATTTTCACAAAAAAGTATAAAAACACTAGACTTTGGTTGAATGAAAGATACACAGTGCAAGAAGTATGGGACAAGCAGAATCACCATTTGAATCAAAGATGGAAAAGCAACATATTTTGTCTCAACAGTGGGACCAAGATCTTAAGGCTTTGACAAGTTAACCCTGTTAATACAACTATGGTTTCTAAGCATTCAGGAATAATGCAAACTAACACTACTCAATGGACTCTTTAGCTCCCCATTCACTTAGCACATTAGCACCTGACTACACTTACCTGTAGTGTCTCTAGCAGCAGGAACAGTAGGGCCAGCTGATAACGAGATGATATGGAACTAGAAAAGTTTCCGATTCCATAACATACTGAGTTAAGCGTATTTCGATGATGGTCTGTATTGTTCTTTTTGTGTCCAAGGTAATCTGGAGGTTCCCCAATAGGGAAGGGACTTGATGGAGATACAAGTTGATCTGTATGATGCATATTCACAACTCTTTGAAAGGTTTCTGAAACAGATTGTGACAATTACTATCTCAGGAAGCAAACTGAATGTCGTAAAAATTGCATATAGTTAATTACAGAATTGTTTCAGGTGCATGTCATTTAGCTCATCATGTCTGTACTGGCTTTCTGAACATTTTGACACGGTGCCAGTCTTTTCTCCATAACCTTGCATAATGTTTCCATTCAAATGATCATTTAATACCCTATTGAAAGCCTCAATTGAAACTGCCTCCACCACAACTCCAGGCAGTGCATTCCTGATCTTAACTATTCACTGTGTGAAAAAGTTCTTTCTCACTTCATACTGGCATTTTTTTTTGCAAAGCATTTAAATCTGTGTAACAATTCTCAATCCTCTTATGGGCAGGAACAGTTTCTCCTTATCTATGTTTTTCCCAAACCTCATGATTTTACAAACTTCTATCAGATCTCCTCGTAGCCTCACTTCTCAAAGGAATTTTTTTTCATTTGTGGGATGTGGGCGTCGTTCGCTGGCCAACATTTCTTGCCCATCCTGAGTTGCCCTTGAGAAGGTGGTGGTGAGCTGCTTTTTGAACCACTGCTGTCCTCCTGCAGCCCAACTTTTCAAATCTATCCTTATAACTGTCATTTCTCAATCCTGGAACCATTCTTGCAAACTCCTTCTGCATGCTTTCCAATGTGTTCATACTCTTCCTGAAGTGCGCCACTCAGAATCTTGCACAATGCGCCAGCTGAGATCCAACTAGCATCTTATGCATGTTAAGCATAACCCTTCTCTGCTCTATGACCCTATTAATGAAATATGAATACCAAATGCCTCATCTAAGAACATAAGAACAGGGAGTAGAAGGAGGCAATTCAATCCCTCGAGCCTACTCCAATATTTAATGCAATCATGGCTAATTTCATATCAGCATCAACTCCACTTTCCCGCTGACTCCCCATAACCCTTTAACCCATGACTCATTAAAAATTTGTCTCTCTGTACCTTAAATTTATTCAGTGTCCTGGTGTTCACTGCACTCTGGAGTAGTGAATTCCAAAGATTTATGACCCTTTGAGAGAAGTAATTCCTCCCTATTTCTGTTTTAAATCTGCCACCCTTTAGCCTAAAACTACAATCTCTTGTTCTAGGTTGCTCCAAGAGGGGAAACATTGCTTTATGTCTAATATATCAATCCCCTTTGGCATTTTATGCACTTCAATTCGACTTCCTCTCATCTTTCAAAACTCTAACAAGTATAGGCCTAAACTGCTCAATCTCTCTCCAAAAAAAAACACCTTATCTTTGGAATTCACCTAGTGAACCTTCTCTGAACTGTTTCCAATGCAATTACATCTTCCTCAAGGGGACCAAAACTGTATGCAGTGCTCCAGATGCAGTCTCACCAATACCTTGTACGAATGCAAAACATTTTCTTACTTTTATACTCCATTCCTTTAGCAATAAATAGCAAATTTCCATTCGCCCTCCTCATTAACTGCTGTATCTGCATGCTAGCTTTCTGTGACTCATGCATGATTTATGACCAACTCCATCTGTCACTTTAATGACTTATGTACATATACAGCAGGTCTCTCACCTCTCTGCCCACTCCACCAACTTGTAATTTTCCTCCTGAAATTCTACTGTCCTCCTCACAGTTTACAATGCTCCCAACTTTGAAGTTATCTCCTGCACATCAAGATTCAGACCCCTTACATACATCAGGAAAAGCAAGAGTTCCAACAGTGACTCCTGGGGAACTCCACGATACATCTTACTCAAGCCCAAAAAACATCCATTAACAATTACTCTGTTTCCTATCACTTGGCCAATTTTATATCCACATTGCTATAGTTCCCTGTATTCCATAAACTACAGCTTTTGTTTTACAAGTCTATTGTGTAGCACTATATTGAACACTTTTTGCAAGTCCATGTACACAATATCAACCACACTGCCCTCATCAATTCTCTTTATCACCTCTTCAAACACTTCAGCTAGTTAGACATGATTTTCCTTTGACAAATCCATGCTGGCCTTTCTGAATTAATCAATATTTTCACGTGTGACGATGAATACTATCCTGAACAATTGTTTCTAGAAATATTCCCACGATAGAATTTAAGTCTACCAACTCACCGAGGCAATCAATCCAGAATTCTGAAATTTGCAGTTCCTCTCTGTAACAAAGTTCAATGGTTAGTTTTTCCATCACAGAAAGCTATGGCAATTTTGTAGGTGTCAAATTTACAGGGACAAAGCAAGTAAAGAGTAGGTCTGACCATATGTCTTGTTTCTTGTAATAATAGGTGAATAAATTATTTTAAACTTATTTTGTAAAGAATGAAAAAGAAAGGAAACTGTTGGGAATGAGTCAACACTTAACGTACATTTAATCTCTTCCACAATTTATTAACTTGGATGCCTAATTATGACGCTGTGAGTTAACTGAAGTATTCAAACATGGAACGACAGAATTTCAGCTAAACTCAGGGGGAACATAGGCTGGACAGGAGAGAGCCAACAGGCCAATCATATCATTTAAGTGAACTTGAAAAGCCAGATGGGTCACACCTGAAAAATCTACTTGTCTCTGTACCTTGAGATCTCAATGTAAAGTGAAATATTCCACCAGTATAAATGTAATTGTGATAGAAAATGTTTTTGTGATAGAAAATGCTATCATGATAGAATAGGAGAAATGGTTTGATTGAGCACATAGATTGTATTGGCCATACAGGGCAGTTGTAAATGTCGAAGTAATGAATAAAAGAACTGTGGATGCTGGAGATTTGAACCAAAAACTGAAAGTGCTGGCAAAATTCAACAGGTCTGGAAGCAACTGTGGGGAGATGGCAGAATGAACATCTCCAGTCCACTGACTCTTCATTAGAATAGGAATGTCAAGGCCTCAGGAGCAAATTACTGCAGATGCTGGAATCTGTACTGAAAACAACCAATGCTGGAGATCACAGGAGGTCGTACAGCATCCATGGGAAGACCTTTTCAGGTCCATATCAATTGCCTTATCGAGTAGTGCTGGCTGTGTGCCTAACCCAGATTGGCCTCCGTTTTCAGTGACTCTTGGAAGTTGGATTTTAGTACATTTTTTCCCTTTTTATTACACCAACACACAGCAAACTGTGGACGTATGTGTGTGCCCCAAGTCTCAAATGTGGCTGGGTTCCGATGTTATCACTGGTCTGGCACGAACGAGAGGCTGAAGGTGTTTCCCTACAAATGCAGGGACCAAAATCCAGATCCACCATATCAAACCCACAACAGCAGCAGGAGGAGGTGGGTTCTGACAATTCAGTGAACTTACACTGCTTCCTTTATTTTCTGTTGGATTCTCTCTCCTTCAGCCACACTCGGATATTCCACCGCGTGGGGAACCTCTCTGGCATTTTCTCTCCGTTTCTTTACTCCTTTTTTCTTTCTGATTGTTTTCCATTCCCCTTCAGCTGGTAAGGCAGACATCTCTCTCTCTCTCTGTGTGTGTGTGTAATTAAGCTTTAAGAAAGGCCGTACCAAACTGCATCCTTTCAGGGTGCCTGTGTTGTTGCTGAGGAAGCTGAGATCTGATGCAGGGGCGAGAGGTTTTGAGATTATGGGCCTCAGTTGGGATGATGTGTAAAACAAAACCGCAAACTCTGAGAACTGCTCCCTCTGGGAAGAAGAGAAACACGATGTTAAATTAAATGGAGTGTCTTTTCCCCCCTTTCTGTCGGTTCCTGGTTATTTAATATTCGAGTTCCTCACTGTGCTTAACTACTTTACACATCCCTCGGTGCCGCTGGGTTCACTGTCCCCCCCCCCCGACAACATCACCTTCTCAGAATCTGTTTCCTGACCGCGGGCCGGAACCTTTGTACGCGCTCGGTGTTTCCCGACAGCGGAGTTCCGCACACGGACACACAGGATGGCGGTTGTGGTTCGTTGGTGAAACATCGGTTTAGAATTATTTCGGAGGGGCGGAGGGCGCCCGGCGGCTTTGTGGCTGGAATTAAGCGAAGGCGGTGAGTTTGGCTTGTGGACTTTGTTCCAATTCGTTTTGCTGGAAGATTCCTAAACTGCACCCAGGCCGACTGAGCCCATTCCAGCTGGAGAGCGGCCCGTGTCCATTAATGTGTGAACCTGGAGGGAGGGGAACGTGTGTATGTGAATGTCTCAGAGAGAAAAGAGGAGGGGGAGTGTGTGTGTGAGAGAGAGAGAGAGAGAGAAGAGGAGGGGGAGAGTGTGTGTGTGTGTGTGTGTGTGAGAGAGAGAAGAGGAGGGGGAGAGTGTGTGTGTGTGTGAGAGAGAGAGAAGAGGAGGGGGAG